TAAAATACATCACATGTTTTGTATTATTATTCGCTTATAGCGAACTCCGGATATAACCAACCAGTTTTAGTTAATTTTTCAAGTTCGTTATATCCGGACTCAACTGTATATCATTCACATAAACTTAAATTGAAGAACTTGATACATTTTAGGACAGAAGGACGTTTATTCCAGCAAATGGTTTGCATTTACTAGCTTTGCCTAGGCAAGCGACAGAAATTTTTAAATTGTCCAGTATCTTCAATTGCCAGGTCGCATAGCAAGTCATTGCCACTGTATAAGCTTTTGCTCTGAAATATACGGGTCGTCCAGTAACGCCTATTCACTCTCTTTTTCCTTTTAGATAAATCACACAAAATTATGAAAGCTGCCGCTGCAATTTTAGCATCATCCATGATGAACAGCACATTTATTTCGCCGCGCAAGCTGGAACCTTGGCAAATGCAAACATTTTCAATTATTGTTGCAGCAATATAGACGCAAGGCGCGAATTGTGTGTGAACGTTCGCGAATGTTTGGCGCGGTATTGCGCTGCAGTCTGAACGCACCTTATGAACGACGGTTTTGAATCGCTCGCCATTTATACTGTCATGATTTGACATTTAAAAAAAAGGCCGTTTGTAAGTCGTTAGTTTTTTCGATGACCTGTGCCGGGATCTTCGAAACTATAGCAGTTACGAAACAGGTTGAATGGACAAATAATTGGAGTTTTGAATGGTCTACTCGAAACCAATTTTATTTTTCTAAAATTTGACAGCTGTCAATACATATTTCCATTGATATTAATTTGTCAGGAAAACATTAAACAGAAACTTGTAGGAAATTTAATTCCAAACAAAATGGCATTAGACATTTCTCCAAAATAATCAGTCATTTTTGACATATGACACAAATTTGAGTTCCTTTAAATGACAACCATACTTGATTATTGCTTTACCGAATAGAGCATTTTATTACGATTTCTGTCATATATCACATCGTTAGGTTTTTTTAGAAAATAAAGTGTCTGCGAACAATTCATACTTTTTCAATTTAGTTGATCTAAGTTAGTCATGGAAAATAGTATAAGACAAAGCATTGTTTCCATAGCAACAAATAATAACAACATCTTTCAATTTTTGACGTTCAAGATGAAATTCAACCTAGAAATCTAAGTTTTATTGAAAAAATGAATTTTTCCAATCAACAAAAGCGCAACATGATTAAAACCAATATTAGATGTGATAAAAATGCTAGACGAGCCTCTGATTACTATTTTGGGAGGTATTTTGACCGTCGCCAACCGTCCTTGAAAACATGCAAACGATTATACGACAATTTGGGCACTTTTGGAAGTTTTACTCAGCCAAGAAATGAAGATAAAGTAATAAATGAAGCTGTGGAGGTTAATATCTTGGTCAGTGTAAGCCAGAATCCACATATTTCAACCAGAGAGATCGCAGCAGAATCCGGGACTTCCCAAAGCACCGTGATGAGAGTTTAAAAAAAACACAAATTCCATCCGTATAAATCATCAGTATCCCAACCTTTACATCCAGGGATGAGGAGCAGCGTGTGAATTTTTGTACACGGTTCCGAAACAAATGCCAACAAGACATCAAATTCCCTTATAAAATATTATGGACTTATAAAAAATTGTGGTATGTTTAATCGACACAATGAACATCTTTGGAATCAAACAAATTCCCACCACGTTGAGCAAAGGAGACCACAAATTAAATTTGGGTTTAACGTTTAGAGCGGAATGATGGGTTCAAAAATTCTTGGTAAATGTATTTTTGGAGGCATTTTCAATGGGAGTCGGTATCTTCAATTCCTTCGGAATAACCCGGATTTTGATTGAATTTTATGGCCACCTCGATCACCGGATCTTTCACCTTTGGATTTCTTTTTGTGGGGAAAAACACAGTTTACCAAAACAAGTATGTCAATTTAAATGCACTTAAAGAAGCTGTTAGAGTATTTGAAAATTATGATGGTCGGTCCGCAAGAAAAGCAACTGATTCAGTTTTAAAGCGTTGCAATGTTTGCATTGATAGTAATGGTGGACTTTTTGAAAAGTTTTATTATAAAAATTAAAGCTTCTAGAGTTAAATTTCAATTATTATTGGTATGAACTGATTTTTATAATAATGTAACGGAAATGGCCTGGGGTACTCACGTTTGGAATGGGGGATCGAAATTCATGGTATTTCAGGAAATAGGAGCCCCATTTGGGCCCCATTTACTGTCAAATATGACACTGACAAGCGGGAAGTTTCGCACCTGTTCTGGAGATTTCTAGAACTATCTGGAATACCTGGAGAAAACTATATAAGCGACGAGGAGAACCAGACAAGAGGAGAGTGAAGTGACAGCCGCGCCTGAGTGCAGAAGAAGTTAAACCCGCGAGTCGGAAATCCGTGTTTTCCGTGTGTTATTGTTATCATTTGTGAAGTTGACATTAATTTTAGAAGTTAGTTTGTTCCTGTTCCGTAGTTAAAGTTGTACCAAGTGGAATAAAAGTTGTAAGCTGAGGAAAGAGTTTAATACTCGGCCATCCACGGTACAATAAACACTTGAACGTCGTCAGCCGTCTTAATTAAAATAAAGTTATTGCCAACTTTACGTTGTACGTTGTCAAAATAAATACTGAAGCATACTGTTATTATTTGTTACTATGGAAACAATACTGTATGTCTTATACTATTTTCCATGGCTAACTTCGGTCAATAAAATTGAAAAAGTATAAATGGTTTGCAGACACTTTATTTTCGAAAACAACCTAACGATGTGATATATCACAGAAATCGTAATAAAATGCTCTATTCGGTAAAGTAATAATCAAGTCTGGTTGCAATTTAAAGGAACTCAAATTTGTGTCATATGTCAAAAATGACAGCTATTTTGGAGAAATGTTTTATGCCATTTTGTTTGGAATTCAATTTCCTACAAGTTTCTATTTAATGTTCTCCTGGCAAATTAATATTAACGGAACTAGGAGTGATTCAAAAATTTACCATAAATGAGTTTTTCCCAAATATCTGTTGACAGCTGTCAAATTTTAGAAGAATAAAATTGGTTTCGAGTAGGGCCTTCCAAACCGCAATTCTTTGTTCATTTGACCTTGTTCGTAACTGCTCTAGCTCTAGTTCCGAAGATCCCTGTACTAGTCATCGAAAAAAACTCACCCTGTATATGTTTTATTTAAAATTTGAGCTGTTTTCATTCTTCTCAGTTCATCGATGGCATTCAACTGCGGTATCGAGAAATTGAAGGGAAAATATATACCGCCACTCCGCTCATTCATCGAGCTGTCACCACTTATACGATTGAAAATCTCAAATCCAACCACCAGTATGAAATTGGAGTTTTCTTCATACCATTTCCAGGTAAGCGGGCCGCTGAAAGTGAACCCCAAGTGCTCCAATTGCATTTATTCCAGGTCAGCATACGGAATTAAGCGCTGATCACATGCTGCGATTCACCACTGCCAATTTGGTGGACAACTATGGATTCTCGATCATTCTAGATGTGGCCCAAATCAAATCCACCAGCGTCGAAATTGCTTGGACGGGGGTGCCCTACCCGGAAGACAAATACGTAAATATTTACAGGTAAAAAATAGACAAGGAAATTTAGCTTGCGGCGTTTTAACTGCTAAACGCAATCGATTTCAGAGCGATATACCAAAGCGACTCGGGTAAAGAGGATCACAGTACATTTAAAATCGCCAAACGAGACTCGCCCACCAAAACGATCGTCAGCGAATTGAAGCCGGGTACCAGATACCGAATTTGGCTGGAAGCTTACTTGACTAATGGCAAAATCAAAACTAGCAACGTGCAGGACTTCATTACCAAACCCCGTGCTGCTCCTGCTTTGGGTTCGTCTTCACAGGGTAAGCGACTTCGATTCATTGGGTCTCATGAATAAATCGTAGTAAATTCTTCAGA